CGCTCTTCCAATGGCTATATCCTTGTTAGGCAGGTGACTCGCCCAACCTCCCAGCACTTTCAGAGCACAAGAACGAAAAAGGAATTACCTCGTTGTGTTCCAAGCAAGCAATCATGATCTCTGACAGGATGACCACCCCCGTGCGCCCCACGCCCGCGCTGCAGTGCACCAGCACAGGAGGGTTACAGCTCTGCGGATCTGCGGTGCTGTTTGTGTGGCGCCGCACCGACTGGATCTCCTCCAGGTAGGCTGTTGGGTTCAACAGAAGAAGAAAGCTACATTTAGGAGACAAAGCTATAAAAGCTCCGCTATTACCACTGCGTGACTATCAGAAATATCCTGTAGGAGGAACTCAACAAGTTACATCTCCCAGAAGAAAATGACACAGTAAATAAATCACCTTTCACATCCCATCAAAAGCAATACAAATCTATTAATCATGTAGTTTTTGTAAGGTTTTGACAGCTTCCCAATCCCCCAACAAAGGTGGTGGTCTTGCTATTGCTGACACATATTGAATGAGTAATACGGGATGTAATTATGTTTTAAGCTATATGGCTTTTCAGTGTGTTGTACACATGGCTTTAGACATAAATTGTCATATACTGACAGGTATATGCCCATCAAAAACACAATCTAGTATCTCTTGCTGGAATGGAGAAACCTTGTACAGCAGGATGCTTGGCATACGTATCACAAGCTAATTCCTGTATTGCAGCCATGCTAGGTAACACACACACACACAAAAAAAAAAAGTCAAATCCACTGAACACTTACAGAGAAATCCCTTTAAGTCCTCAGGACAGCCATGCTCTGGCCAGTCAGTATACTGCAGATGCCAAACTGTCCTCTCCTGTCCTGTGAGAAGGTGTTTGATCTTCAATCCCGTAGTTGCATAGCAGCCTGAATCCGTACGGAATCGTGTTGTAATCTTAAATCTTCCATACGTGACGGTGTTGTGTCTTGAGCCAAGACGTGGCCAATATCTGAAGCTTTTTTCTCTCCCACTCTCCTTAAAAGTAAAACACTTGCTTAACAGGAAACATGAAAATACACACGCAACTGATGTTCCTGTAACAAATATATTTCTCCTCTATTAAGTATTGCTACAGTCTTACAGTTTCTCACTGAGTGAACAAACTTTCTAGTGGAAAGGGTTTGCAAATTTACATCAGTCTGCCAAGAAAAGCAAGACAGAACAGCAAAGGGGTCCCTATAAAATAATCTTCAATTGCTTTTCTTGTTTCAGTAAACAGCCCCCCTTCCTGTAATGGATCATGAGAAAATCACTGCAGAATTTTCTGGGGTAGACCTGCTCAGCTTATACTCACTTCTTCTGCTGTGACCATTGCTATGATGGCAATCCCTTGTTCCCAAATCATCTGCCAGAAATCTTGACATGTGTTCTGCAAAGGGCCCTGTGTAGCAATGTAATCCCATTCGATGCCACCAACAGAGACCTGGACAAAGATTATAGATATTAGAAGCCATCCTACTGCCTACCACGAACGCAGTCTGAGAATACGGAAGAGGATGAACTAAGACTCTGTCACCGCAGATCAAAAAACATCACAATCATGGTGAAGGATCCCAATTTGTTGAGATGCCAGCTCCCTTCTTAACTTAGGAAGCGTGTCCTCTGTGAGTACCAATGCAGAGAGAGGAGGGCAGAGAGAAAGTAGATCAATATAGAACATCTCTCTTACGTAGAAGCAAAACCAGAAAATCTCTCCAAAAACTAACCCTCTTTTTTTTTTTTTAAGGTAATGTAAGGCAAGCAAGTTCTTCCTCCCCCAAACAAAACTCAGCAGAAAAAAGGAAGGAAGGAGGGAGAGATTGGGAGGGATTCTAACTTAGTTGACAAAACCAGAATTGAAGGCCTAATCCCTTTTTAATTATGATATCAACCAGAAAAGATTTCTCCAACAGTATTTCTCTCACCTTGATATGAGATGCATTGATGTAACCCGTGTTATTTTCTTTGGTTGGGACTAGCTCCACTCTGGTGTCATCATAAGGAAGGACATCCTGGAACCGGTTTCTTTCAGCATTTTCTGGAAGCCGAGCTATTGAGCACTCCCCATCCGTAAGCCGCCTCTTCTGAATGCGCTCGTATTCCGTGAACACCATTCCCTGCTCCAGCCGTTGCTCCAGAACTTTACACTAAAAAAAGAGAACAAAGATTACCAGAGAAATTCAAATACCAAGATGTTTTTTAACATAGAATTCATAAGGGATGAAATGTTTGTACTTTCTCCTATACAAACTTTTTAATGCTTTTCCAGCTATTATTTTTTTAAAACATACCAGAATAAGCCAGAAGCAATTCTAACCAGGAAGAGTGTTGTTCAATTGAAATCTGCCTAAGAATCTTGAGATGTTTCACTAAGTCACAAACATCACTGTGGGAGGAAACAAAAATCATAGCAAAGGAATATTTGGCCAAACAAGGTAACTATGCTACACTATAAACATTGCTTCAAATGCCTTTAAACAAGAAACACTCATTAATCTTTCTGCTCAATATAGTACACAGGATTACATCATTTGAAAAATCACTTATTAAAAAAAAAATCACTTGTAATGCATACAACTTTCTGGTGAAGGTGGAGAAAAACTCTACAATTCCAGAACAAAATGCTGAGCTCACTGAATGAATTAATCATTTACTGCAAATATTCCACATTTCCTTAGTGTAAAGATAATAAATATAGAAGACAGCAGCAAAGCCTTCTTGGAACCTCCTGCTACAGCTGAGTTATAAACCCATGATTTTTTTTTTAACTAGAATAATTCAGTCTGCCCCAAAAACAGATTTTTTCTTTCAAAACTAAATTGTTTCTAAATCATAGACACTTCTGGAATTTCAGGATCTGCTTGCCAACAACAATTAGAGGAATAATATGTGAGATTTCAGCCAGAAAATTTCATCTATGTCACATGTCTCGAGCCTCTCACAGCAACTGTTCTGCAGTATCAGACTAGAAAAGCATTGTGTCAAATAATTGTACTGCCAAATGTTGCACTAGAAAGTGTAAAACCGCTGTTACACACAACTTACAGATCAATACACTCATTGTAAAAATGTGCCTTTTTGTGTCTTTAGGCCAAATTTCCCAGTATAACCTGACAGTAACATGAAGCTGAGCAAAGAAGTAGGTACTGAATCCACTTAAGTCTTCATCTTCTAAAAATATCTACTGTCTAGACTTTCTTTCATGTTGTGTGTCTCATTTGTTCTGTCCCTTCTCCACAGTCTCAGGAACCACTCCCATTTCCTGATATACATTCTGCCTACGTGAACTATTTGAGGAGGCAGTGTAGAGGCACGTGTCTTTTTCCATCACTTTACATTACAGATTCTTCTTTTGTCTTAGCCCTTTGTGCAGAACTGTCTGAATAACTATATGTCTGAATTCAATAGAAGTCAAACCAGGAAAATATGCTGGCTGCAAGAGGAAATAACCAAAACTGTAACTAAATGTAAAAATGTATCTCAACAATACAGTGTTACTTTCTGTTCCTTCACATCCTCAAGGGGCATATATATTTCAGAAAGCCATTTCAACACACTTTCAGCCACAAAATTACAGTCAAAACTCCCTCATATGGGTTTAATTCCAAGCTTTCAAACCCCAAGACTGATTTTCTTCTTTTGTGATTTTCAACCAACTGTCCTGCAAGTTACTTGGAAACAGCAGCTAGTGGTACTGTGACTGTTACACTCAGTGACCTCGATGAACTGAGCTGAAGGGGCTTTCAGCTAAGGCTGCCCACCCGTGCCCACAACCAGAGTCTGAAGAGATGAATGTCTGCAGAACATACAATAGTCACCACAGACCTCACTCATCTAATTGCTCCCTGGGAAGATATATGATGACAGAATTGTTCTATACAACCCTTCATAATCTGGATGTTCACTAATTTCGCACTTGCTTGCACACAGGACACCGTGGGTATAAACAGGAAAGAGACAGGCTGGGGTACTGGTTATATCTTATATCTCTCAAGTATCAATCCTCAGTTCTAGAACCTGACATTCTCTCTGTGATCTGAGACTGGTTAATTAATTTAAAAGTTCAGCAGATCACACAAGCTCCATCTACATTCTCAGGGATCCACCTGGGGGAAAAAAAAAGATAAACACTGTCTGAACGAGCGGTATCCTGGGGATGCAATATAACTACTCAATTTGTTGTTAAAATTGCATGAACTACTAATCATTACAATCAAGTTTAGACCTTTCAGTGTGTAAAGGAACCTATGTTCAAAGGGTGAGGTAAATTGCTGTCATCTTAAACCTTAAAAGAAAAATCTTTTGTCACACTCAATATGTGTATCAGTGACTTTGTAATCGGAAGTCTCATTTACCATTTTGCTTCTATGCTCAATGTTTAAGTTGCTTTGAATCTGTAATATTTTGAAAGTCGCTACAAAGTACCACCATTCATATGCAATTAAATTTTGAAAAGTTAATAATGTGATGAAAGAGAAATCAAGTATTAAAAAATTTCAACCTACCCGTTCATCATTTGTTGCTCTTGTGGACTCCTCCTTCCCCTCGTCTGGCAGAGGCATTCTACTCAAGGTCAGTCCATTTAGGGCAGCTAGCTTTAGAGGCCCTATTTTTTTTGCATCAGTTTTATTCTTTTTCATGCCCTGCAGAAGAAAAGCTAAAACTTATAAATATACTTAAATAGTTGATAGGTTATAAAGCAGAACTCAGATGAGTTCAGTTTAGTAAAGGATACTTCTCTGACCTCTCCTGCAAACTAAACCAGCTTTGACCCTTTTCTCTGATTAGGACTGCAGTGAGAGATTAGGGTGGTGGGGCTACATTCCTCCAAGCACACAGCTCAAGTCTGTCTTCATTCCAGACAAGTTACTGAAACTGCATGAGAATGACAGATAATGCTCCCTGCAAGGCTAGGTCATAGCTGAAGGTGTGAGGCCACAACTCTGGGCAATTATCATTCTTGAAAGAACTGGAATCACTAGCCACCCCAAAATATACATAAATAAAATGATTCTGTATAGCTATGCAAACTGAACTGAAAAGTATTCTATTGAATATTTCCAATGAAAACAGTTTGAAAGGTTGAAATGAATATGCACATGACTATCAGACGGAAAAGGCAGGGTTAGTGATGTGGTAGTCCCATCAGTGATTCAGAATATTTCATATGGAGAGCAAAACACAAAGCAACTATATCTAAATGTGAACACAAGTAGAAAGATATTACCATATTTTTCTATATCCACATAACAAACAGGAAGAAGAAGAAGAAAGCTTAAGGAAACATGAGGAAATGATGGAAGTTGATGAAGATGGTATAAATTCCTAGCCTGTATTATTGTGTCCAGCTCCATGTAGATCAAGTCCAACATTTAAGAAAACTGTGAGAGCAGTAACTATTTAAATACATGCCTTAATCTAAGTTAGCTTTTGCAGCATCAGTTAGAATAGTTAGTAAAGAGTAGATTTATGATGCTAGTTCCACTGCAGACCAGTTCTTGCAAAAACTATTTAACAGGGTATAGTACCTCAAGGAAAGGGAACATCAATCAATTAAATATATATATATATATACACATATATATATAAAGGAAACACGACCCCCAGATGCCACAGAACATGGTCTTCCTTCAGCAGCACTCAACATATTCCAGGAGCTACATAAGGTGACCAAAAGTTTAAAACAAAGTAAGTGGTAAACGTTGCCAATGCAACTGAAACTGCATGGTCCAACGTGGGCCTTGATGTTTCTTTGAGGTGGGAGTTACGGGAAAGGTGAAACCTACAGTCCTTCCATTCCATTCTTTTTAAGGAGTCATAGGAGGAGAAAAAAGAAAAAGACAGCAAGGAATAAATTTAATGGGATAAGAGCAGATTGAAGGCAAGGGAAGAAAAAGGAAAGGATATAGGGAGGGGAGGAGATGGAGGAAAGTAAAGAAAAAATACAAGGAAAGAGAATCTATTATTTTAATGAGTCAGATTCCCCTTTTTGGTCAGAATAAGAAAGTTAAAGGATTTAGCTAAACTCAGTTTTTTGGTAAGGGAAGTTATGACATTAGAAATCTGGCAGTGGAAGGGAAGCAGTTGTTTTTATCCCAGAAAAGGATACGTAAGACAGAATGTGGGAAGTGGGACTGACTTTAAAGTACCTCTCTGCTGCAGAATTGCTAGGCAGGTCAGCTGTATCAGACTGGGGAGGGGCACAGTTGGGTCTGTGTGGGAGGACTATTCAAACAGAACTCAGAAGTGGCAGAAAAGATAGAAGACAGCTAAGCAGAGTTAATGAGAGAAAAACAGATAATAATTCTTATGTTTTAAAAGCATCTCAGGCTGATTTCTAACACACCACCATAGAACAACCCAAAACAATCCAAAACAAGAAAAAGTAATGTCCACTTACACCTAGCGGGGGAAGGCCTTCCACAATATTCTTCTTCCCAGACAAAAGATCAGACACAGGTCGCTTCTTTACTGAATCCTTTCTTACTCTGTATCTCCCTGATGTTGTAAGGTCAGACTCCGACATAGATGGAGTAAGCAGTCCTTCCCCTCTTCTCTGTACCTGGCTTTCTACCAGTAAATGAACTGGGCTCATATCCTTCATTCTCTTTTCTGTCTCCGTAATATGTAATTTAGGGTCAAGAATATGCAAAGGTCCAGCAGATGAAGCAACAGAGCTATATGGGTAGCTCAGTACAGAATCATGAGAATAACCACTCATAACGGTCGAAAGTTGGGCTTGATCTTCAGGGAGAGGGGACAGGCTTGTACTAGCTTTGTTTTCTTCTTCAAATTCTTCCTCTTCTTCACTACTGTGAATCAGCATAGTAGCATCTGAAAGGGTTTTCTTATGTTCACAATTCATGCCTTCTTGCGCATTTTCTTTTTGTTTTGTCCTGTCCATCAGGATATTGGGCTGTGACCCTTCTGAGATAACCCTTGGAAGAGCCATATCTGCTGCAGATGCTGACATGGTCCTCTCTTTAATTCTTATACCTTCAAAGCTGGGAGTCAAGCCTGCTATTTCAATACTGTTCCTCTTCTGCAGCTGGGCATGGCGTGCCGATGTCAGAGGCTCACTGACTTCCTGAAGAGAGTGTGCAACAGGCAGGCTATCCTCCTGAAATGTCTGGACGGAATGGTGCACTCGGCGGGTAATGAGGTCCGGGTTGCTGCTGCTAATGTAGAGGTGGCGGGAGAGGTCCGGGGTACTATTGGCAGGTCTTGGGTATGGGTACGGGGGAGGGGGTCGATACACTTGGGTCTTCATTATGTTTGGTGCTGGATAATCTTGAGCCTGCAGTTGTACATTTGTTAGCTCAGGCACACTGACCGCCCCAACAACTGGGAGATTGGCTATGAAAACTGTAATTTAGGTTAAATGGGTAATGATTAGACTGCGGGGAAGTGAAGTGAGCATGTTCTCGTATTTCAGGTTGACTGTAAACTAAGGCATCAGGCCTGCTGTAAGCATATGAATTGCTGATGTTAAGATTTCTCATTGAATGGCTTTGTCTGTCTGAATGCATCATTCCCCTGTTGAGCTGTCTCATTACTGTTTCATAGTCCGGCGTGGGCCGGTAAGAAGGTGGTATTAGTGCACTATGTCTATGCGACGGGACGTAATCGGTTCTGAGGACGTCGCTTCCAGTAATGCTGGGGTTGGAAGACATGGGTGACGGCTGCAGGTAATGCTGTGGATTATTCAAGGAGTTTGTGCTATGGGCGCTATAGACACTACCATTGCGGATTCGGCCACTGTAGTCATGAGGAGCTCTGTCCAAGCTAGTCTGAGAATGACAGTAATATCCGTTCTGATTGCTCACAAACAGGTTATCTGAAAATAAAGTTTAAGAATAATCATTATGTCCAAGACACAAAATGAGGAAAATAATCATTATGAACATGTAGCTAATCTATGATTGAGATTTTCAAGATCTCAGTTATTCAGATCTATATCTTAAACTGGGAAGAGAAGAAAAACAGAACAGCTTTCTTGTTGTTGATACCTAAGGAATTCACACCAGAATAACCAATAATGATCAACAGATGATGCAAACTCCCAGAGCAAAACTTTACTTCAATTTAGAAAAGTTTTCTTCAGATCAGGCTTCGTAAGCTTCAGCCTAAGTTAAACCAAATACAAATTAATCTTAAAACACTTCAGTTGAAAGAAAGAACAACCACGCCAGAGTTTGCACTAATTTAATGAGATCAGCTTAAAAACTAAGAAACAAAATAATACTCCGGTCGTAAGTGGATATAATACTATAAGGCCGTTAAAAAAGTAGAACTGTGGACACTATTTAAACAACAACCATATATTCTTTCCACATTAACATATAACCACTGTGATGGATAAAGAAAATGACCTCAGAGTTTACAAATTCAGCATGCACTTAGTAGACTGTACAGCCAATGAAGTAATTGTTAATCTGCCAGGCTGCAGAGTAAATAAGTCACTGCTTTAGGTTCCTTTAGTTATGTAGCACTTAAAGTGATCAACACCATTACCATTCTTATTGAAATTAATCTGCTGATAATAAATGATTCTTTTACTTATGAAAAAAAAAAAAAGTTCGGACGTAGGATTTTTGCAGTAGGAAGCATGATAGTCACTGGCCCTGCTTTGCGTGGGCTACTTAGTACCCCAGTAACTGAGGCTACTTTGCATGGGATTAGATTAAGCTCTTTAGGGTAGCAACTTCGTTAACTAAAGACACAATGTGTAACAATCAATTAGAGAGAAAAAGCAGCCTTGACTCCACTGTGTAATTGGACAGATTACATTCCTTGAGAACTCTAATTATTTTATCCTCTTTTTTTTTTCAAACAAATATTTAATAATTCCATAACCCATGGATCTCCTCAGCCTTTGGACTGCTCAGCACCTTGCTGTCTAGCAATTTGGGAGACAAAGTCCTCCCTTCCTACATTCTAGTTTTAAAACTCTTATTTTTCTCCAAACTCCCTGTGGGCTTAGATATTCCTTGCAGCAATCAAGATCAATACTGACAAGGATCTCAGAATGCCATCAAGTACCAGTTGGGTGCATAAAACTCAGACATACTCCAGTCCATTTAAACACATGCAGGAGGGGCGGCGATCTAAAGTTACTGCAGATGCTATCAGCAATTATCACTTCTCTCTTACCTGATGCATCTCATCAGCCTTTGCCTAGAGCAGGAGCAAGAACTGCAATGAGTGATGCACTGCAAACCTGTACCATGTTTAGCCTAAGAATTTATTCAATTCTACAAAATGAAATGCAAATATATGCAATTTATAGCTTCTACCTTTGAAAGTGTGGTCTTAGTTTTCCTGGCAATAAAATCAAAAGGTTTGGCTGTTTACAGTTTACAATTAAAACCATTTTAACAATTATTTAAGATTTAGAACGTTTCAACTCTGCTAATAATTACCTTGGGATGATGCGTACGGTTCAGTATAATGACCATTATAATGCAGCTGAGGTGGTGGAGGCATCATATAAGGTTGAGGCTTGGGCTAAGAAATAAAGTATTTTATTATTAGTTTTTTTTTTTTAAGTGATTTATTTTAAAAATAAAGTCTTGAAGAATGCTGTATATAAACTTAGTCCTCAGCTTAGTCCTAAACAATATGAAATGCATGTTTATCCCATGAAGTCATCAAAGGAATAAGAAACAACCAAGATTGTACCTTGCCATCTAGAAGAGTCTCCAAAAGACAGACCAATCTTAAACTGATAATAAAAGTGTTTAAAATACCTTGTATTGTATCTATTTTAATGTCATTATTCAGACCTTCCAAAAATTGAGAAGCTTCTCACTAGGTTCATCTTTTTCATTGCTCATTTTATTTCACTGAAACAAACTAGTATTTAATTCAAAGTCATTTCAGATTAAAAGAATGCAAATATAAGACTATTTGATCTCCTTACCAAAGACATCCTAGAAGAAGATCGCCTTCTAACAGGATTCACTGTAACGGGCTGGGTTTGTCTACAAAAGAAATTGTATGGTGAGAAACTGTTCTTACTACATCAAGACCTACTTCAGATCTTGAAAACTGCTCACAGGTTAAGTTAAAAGTCAGTATTTCTTAGAGCCAGGTTCTGTGTTAAACAGTCCCCTCCAAGAGTGTCAAAAGGAAACCACCACTGCAGTGAGCATGAGCAGAAACGCAAAAACAGGATGAGAACACAGAATGCTTAAGGTTGGAAGGGACCTCTAGAGATCATCTAGTCCAACCCTCCCTGCTCCAGCAGGGACACCTAGAGCACGTGGCACAGGGTGGCATCCAGGCAGGTTTGGAAGATCTCCAAAGAAAGAGACTCCACAACCTCTCTGGGCAGCCTGTTCCAGGGCTCTGTCACCCTCACAGTAAAGAAATTCTTCCTCACAGGGAAATGGAACTTCCTGTGTTTCAACTTGTACCCATTACCCTTAGTTATGTTAGTTATTACTTAGTGTCCATTCTACAAGCAAAAGAGGGAAATGGCCCTGAAGCTATTCTTGTAGCATGGCAGAAAAAGCTGAGGACCAGATGCAAATTTGAACCCCATGCAATATCGCATGCTGCAAGTCACCCATCCTATTTAAGACCTCATTTAAAATAATTTATGAAGGGCCTGTTGTATTTGCAATGTTACAGAAAGAACAAAGCCTATGCTGCATAAGTATTTTAATGTTCCAGTGTTCTAGCTATCAGCAGTAACTGGAGGTTTTTTTAGGTTACCTCCAAGGTGGATTGTTCAAAAAGCTTTAATTCCTTTTTCCTCACCCCACACTGCACTTTGTAGTAAGACAGTGGTCAAAAGACAGCAGAGTAATACAACTACAGGAACTGCCAGATTTTAGAAAGAAAGATGATTTTACAGCTCACCCTTTCGGAAATGAAGGACGAGAAAGAATTGGAAAGCGTGGAAGGGAAAGAATGAGGGAAGATTTCTGAGAGCCCTCCTCGGCTGGAGAGTCCGGGGAGTCACTAAAGACAAGGATGTACAGACAAAATGGAAACAGTCAGCTAATAAACAGAGAAAACTAATTAGAAAAGGTCCCAATTACCAACACAAAAAAAACTATGAACTTTTTATAGGCATGCAAAATACATTTTTCAGCAGCAGGATCAGAGGACGGGGAATCTTACGGTAGAGATAAATCAAACCAAAAAAATGTTTATTTTTTGAGGACTTTTCCTATTAAAACTGTGCTGTAGAGGATGAGTCAGAGTAAGAAATAGAAATTGGTATTCAATACTATTCAGAGAGCAATGAGAGAATCCTACAAATACACCAATACTACCAATATTTCTCACCTCTCTCCAGAAAAGATCACGTTTAAGATAAGACATAGGATCACGTTTGGCTATTCCAAACTCATTCTACTCTTCCAAAGCTGCACTCACAATAAACATGCTTTTGCACCAAGCCCCCCATAGGTACTTTGTTGCTGACCTACACACCAAGAGGTGGAATGATACATTTGGGAATCACACTTTTTTATGATGGGCTATTCAATAGGTCTGTTTGTCTGTTCTTTGACTGAAGTAACGTAACTAAAGGAAAGCTGCTACCAGCGGCGAAGAGTAGCTCAAAGTCTAGCCCTTGATTTACAAGTTGGATACCAGCCCATTCAAATCTAATTTCATGAATTGTATTAAATTTACGTTGCTACTGCCACTGGTGCTACTTGAGCTATACAGATTCCATGGATACCCAAAGGACCACATACCTCTCAGCTGTCAATCCAGCACATTTCAAGAGTGCTTCACATACCCTTCCCGCCCTTTGAAAGGCCTTCAGAGTGATCTTTAAACAGTTCACTCAAACACAGGCCAAAATCCCAGTGATTTTAGTATCTCAAAAACATTCTAGCATTACTGACCCCCAAAGGAATTGAAGTCTACTACAGCACTACAGATTCAGCAGCAAAGGCCAAATACTAGCACTTTAGTAAAGATCTAAGCTGAATATTGTTCTCTGTTAGGAGGCTGAACCCTTTTTATACCATTTTTATGTAAGTTTTAGTAACTGGTGATAAATGTTCTCTCACGAAACACAGGAAAAAAATCCTACGAGTAATTAGTTAGTATAAACAAAAAAGAAAAATGAAGATATTGAAGAGGTCATATAAGATTTTCCTTCCTAATAGAAACTCCAAAGGCATCAAGAATTTTGCTTGTGTATGCTACTTACAGGCTGCATTTATTTAGTCTGTAAAATTTGTGCCTAGCCACACACATCCTCCACACATATTTTGCTGTTTCCATATCTTCCTGCCAAAAAAAACAACAAAAATGCTATTAGGTAAAACATGCCTATCAATTGCTCTCACAAAAGCCACTGAAATTTTAAAGATTAAATTGGCATTAAACAATTTTTAAATTGAGTTACATTATTATAAGCAGATTTTCCTTAAACCTACTTTTTGCAGACCTGAACAGATACTCTAGCCTAATGATTCTATTATATTTATAAAAGTTTAAATTAGAAGCCTTTTGCTGATGGCATCCTTATCAGCCATAATACTAGAGTGCGCATATATACATATTCATACACACACACACACACACATATATACAGAGAGAGAGAGTGTGTGTGTATCCACCATGTCAGAAGACTGTCCAAAATGCCTTGCTGACAAAGGAAACAGGTAGTTGCTAGAACATGATTCTGCAAAGTCCACACTGGCCCATGCAGCAAAGTTCTAGGTTGAAATGTTATCTTTAAATACCACAGATTTAAAGGCTAAAAAAATACACATGCAAGCAATTTCACTGGAATGGATCAGAGTGCTTCAGACTCTGTATTTGACTCATTCATACAACTGGATATGCAGAAGAAAATTTACCCAACAGGGTAAAGAAATTTAACAGAAAGGAAATGCAATCGTTTATTCTCAGTGAAAAAAAATAAACACCCACTCACAGTTTGGAACTGGATTGTCTCTTCCTTGTTTGCCAGCTCTAGTGCAAAAAAGGATTTGTTGTGGGACATGTTGGCAATATCATGCCACCTACAGACAAAAGAGAGAGAGACTGTGACTGGCAAGTCTTGGATTTTCAAGCCGCAGAAAATGCAGCTGAAGAACAGATCCATCTCCAAGAATAGTGATGAGAACAAAAAACAAAAAGCAAACAAAATCAATTCATCTGAACAAGTTAAACACTGCAATTTTAGGTCATCACTTCCATATTGGTTAAATGACTGCTGAAAGGATTGCAAAATGCAAGTGATACCAAGTATAACACGTATTCCACTTCAAATTTGTTTCACTGTTTTTTTATTTTCTTTTAATCAATCCAAGTGAATTTAACTATCAGTAATGGCAATGTTGTGACTGCCTGAATGAAAGTAATGCATTCTAAAGGGAAATAAATGTCTACATTAAACACAAAGCAGTTCAGGCATTATTAGCTATGTTTTCTAGAATTCTTGCAGGCTGATATATGATGGAAGATTAGATTGTAAGAAATATAATGCCACATATTCACTACCTTTTAAATTGAAAATTGTTTAATGTACTAATAATACATTAATAGAAACAAATTCTGTATCACTGGTTTATTAACCGGGTGTTCTGCTGAGCACAAACACAGAGGAAAAGCATGATCCACACACAGGACTCTTTCTAAAGGTATTTTTACGGTTTCTATTTCCATGATATTGTTGTGCCTCATAGCTGTTCACTGTCATAACTGTGAGACAGGGAATCATTAATCTCCCCATTTTGATGAAGAGAGACAAAAAGCCAAGGCTTTGGTTCCTATGCTTTTATGGATGCAATCATGAACCTTTTACAACTGATCTGAAGCCTAATCTAACCACTGTAAATTGTACCAGTGGGTCATCTGCTTATGCTATTTTTAGTTCTCAAATACCAGGACAGACATGGAACTGCCCACAGTGATACAGCAAATCAACTGTGCAGAAGAGAATTGGCATGTGAATGCTTTCTGATGCTCTCCAACTATGTGCAGCTTCTTTCTTACGTTGGAAATGGACAGCATCCACACTTTTTGTTGAGTCTCAATACTAAATATTTCCAATACTTCTGGTTTTAAGAATGAATTTTGTTTTTTAAAGGCCTAAAAGCACAATAACAGTTTATAATGAGACACATGAGAAAGCCACTCACACTAAAAAAATGCAAGAGTCAATTTCTAACAGATAAACAGTGCATATCAGTTTTCCTTGTGCTTTGACTTGTGTGAAATTTAGAGACAGAGCTTCATTCAGCTCCCCCGCGTGCTGTGAAAGCCAGACACCAGCACTGCTGTTGCTTTCTTCCACAAGAGGCTGAGCAGGGCCCCTCTACAGCTCCACACCACAAATAAGAACGTGGTTCTCCTACCACGACAGACAGACCATATTTGGGACAGAGAGTGAAAAGCCTATGAGTGTGTAAGTCCTACTAATCAAGGCCACTAAGGGACAAGCACAGTTATCTCTGTCTCTACAGAAATTCACATGTTCCACTAACTGTTGGACTTACGTTTCCGAGATTCTGTTCATAATCAGCCAAATATTCAATTCTGTGAGGTTAAAATTCACTAAAAGCCAAGCCTTCTTTGCTATAGAGATAACTTCGGTCTACTAAGAGCCATTAAAAATGTTTCCATTTATAGATTTTCTAAATTTACTCCAAATTCTGTTCACAGATGCCCACACAGGCCCTTCAATCAGTTGGAACCAGAGCATTGCATATGAGGTCTAAACTTCATCTGTCAGGTAGGTTCTGGATACGCACAATATGCACAATTCAGGACAACCTCTTTGGTATGCAAAGATGTGCTTCTTTGTGATTTAATAAATATTTTACAATGACATATGTATCACACGCATGTAATCACTTTGAATTATTTTGGTTTGCAAGGATTCATCCTATAGCCAATACTTGAATTATTTAACACCAGCTTCGGTGTTCAAGATTATGCCACTGTCAAATGAACAAACATACATCATAAACATATGCTAGTGAGGAATATACATAAAACATTAGGTAAAATAGGCAAAGCTATTTTAATAAAGAGTAATACCTAAATACAACAGGAGGCCGACCATTTTTGTGTTTCACGAAGATACCATCAAGACATGCTCCAATGAATATATCACTTCCTTGGCTGTCCTGTAAGGATTTGTAAGAAATTACACAAATGCAAGAAAATTTATTTGAGAGAAAAGTCACATTAGAAGCAACTACTTACATTAAAAAAATAGTTCTGGGAAATAAAATAACAGTGGCAATTCAAAGGTAACACTAAGGTTGTAATCCAGCTAAACATATAATGCTTGCTCCTCATTACTAAAGCATATACATCCAACTCAACACAGCCACCTTCATATTGAAAAATCCCAGCACAGTTACACTAGAGATGTCATTCTGTATCAGGCCCATACATTTGATATTTGATTTTCCAATTCTGGGGAGGGAGGAAGGTGACTTTTTTTTTTTAAGACAGGCAGCAAATTCTTTTAAACAGCTCAAAAGCAACTAAGACAAAGCTCAAAGCTCTGCTTACCTTTGCAGGATAGCTCTCTTCACCGTAGCCCTCCATTCTCTCTACTTCTTGCATATATAACATTTCTGCATCAGGAGGACTAAGGCCTCTGCAAGTGAGAAAAACAAGCAGCTAACCACTGCCAATAAGAAATATCCCTCTGTTTTACTCTGAATGACGCAGTTAAAGCTTGACAAACATCAACAACTAGGCAACCACTAAATCCTACTGATTTCCATTCATACCAATGGCTAGTATATTTCTCTCATTCTTTACACTCTGATATAATAATTTCTTTCTCATTCCTAAATCTAAGAATATTCATCAATGACATTAATCTGTTCTTTCACTTTTTCCTAATCCTAACCAGATTAGCCCTTCTTTGCTGAATTTTAAGCACACAATCACATTACGCCAGCATTTCAAATAAAAAGGCTTGAATTTTTTAAGCTTTGTCCTAAAACAGTGCAGAAAATTATCGACATTGCAGTCACGAACACTTCTTCCCGATTAACTGATGTTACAAAACTTAACTTTAACTTTCCTCTAATTTTCTGCCACGGAAAGCTGCCTATTTTAGGTGCCTTTCACTTAGATCATAAGCATCCTGGCATGGTGACTGTCATCACGTTTCTAGAAAGCAGAGCACCTTCTAGTGTTTTCTTACAGGACCTATCCTTACTGGTTTCACAACTTCAAGCTATAAACAAGTTCTAGAAACATTATACAGGTGAAGTTGCAATATTTACTTGTGTCTCATATTCTTACTTTTTAATCAATACTTTTTCCTTTATTCCAAGACATCATTAGTTCTATTTCTCCCCTCACTTTCATTCAGAAAAAAAGAAACACTGCTTCATTTTAATGAAGCTGCATCTGTGCAAAATTCATTTAAATAGAGGCAAAATTAGTTCAGTTGCATTCTGAGATTCCCAACTTGCTGAGTTATTGAAGCAATCACATCAAAGGTAAGCAATAAAGCATTTTAGAAATGTACCTGTACTTTTGATGTAGCAAGGCAACTTTCTGTGTTGCTTCTTCCAGTATCTTTTCTTCTTGTAGCCAGCCCTTAGGGTAGAGACAGCATTTATAGAACAAACTAAAGCAACAACAACAAAAAATCTCCAAAATAATACAGTCACAATATCTCTACTTAGAGGAAACAGCCCTCCAGTCAGGGCTTGGAGTTCAGACAGAGCAATACTAAATTTCCAAAAGAAAAGAAAAAATATTTCTACCACTATAAAAACTAAAACAAAATGCACAAACAACAGAGTTTTGGAGTGACTCTACTCACTATCCTATCTGCATCTCAACTTCTTTATAGCACAGGACAAAAAAAAAATCTTGCAATTTCTTTGCTTCTGTACAATATAAGACATTGTAACTCCAGTCTCAGAGAAAATCTTTGTTAAATTTGATAAATTTGGGAGCAGTAAGCTAGAATGGAGCATTGGGTTTTTAATAATAGCTTGCTTTGTCAATCTTGTATTTGTATATCTTCAAACTGCAACTTACATGTTCAATAATATAAAAAATATAAAAATAAAATATAAATAAATATAAATATAAAATAAAATATAAATGTAAATATAAAACACAAAAAAAAATAGTTGAAGAAAATACTTACCACTGGAAACAAGGCAAATCTTTGTAGAAACTCCTGAGATTCATACTGATCATAGTCTCCAAAATCAGCTAAAAATAATAATAAAAAAAGGCCTTGGATTCAGACATTTGTAACAAAATGATTCAATAGATGGTTAATAACAGTGGGATGTCCAACAAGCAAATATCCATCCTATGGAACTATGGTCTGAAAGTGAACAAACTGAACAGTAATGTTTTCAAAGAGAAACAGTAGAAACACATCTTACCTTTTTATCATGTTCAGAAAAAAATAGTAAACTCCTTGTGGATAGGAAAGGGGAAGAAATGATAAAACAAAGTGCAGCCTAAAGTTCTCTGTTTTTTTAAATCACTGAATCACAAAATAGTTGAGGTTGGAAGGGACCTCTGGAGATCATGCAGGCCAACCCAACTGTGCTGGGTCAAGCACAATTGCTGTGGATGGTGGCCATGTGCCACCATTTGCTGCGGGCTGTGTCCAGCCAGGTTCTGAATACAGAAGGTAGAGACTTTACCATTTCTTTAAGCAAGCTGTTCCACTGCCTGACCACTCTCACAGTAAAAAAAACTTCTGTATTATGTTCAGATGGAATTTCCTGTGTTTCAATTTATGCCCACTGCCTCTTAGTCTGTCCCTGAGCACCACTGAGTAGAGTCTGGCTCCATCTTTTTCTCTCATGAGACATTTAACTACATGCAGCCATACTTGCAGTAAAGAACTGACAGACTGCTCTAACTTGTAGCTTAATTCAAACACTTAATTAGAAGAGCTGGAACATCCTGGACATTGGCTGCTTCCCATCACAAGGCTTCCTAGGATCCCTGCACCAAGACATGCAGAAAGTCAAACTGGAAGACTCAGAGATGTGCTCAGAATGGACTCAGTAAAAGTTTAGGATCTCTGTCATGACAAAAAAAAGTCTCAAAAAATTTACCTATCTGTCTATTTCCAGGAAAAAAAAAAAGCCAACTTTGTCAAAGAGGAGAAATCAAACAGTCTAAACCAGAAAAATTATATACCAGTCTCACAAGAGAAAGTATCTTCAGGGACTACAGTTTCTACAGGACGGCTGTTTCAAAGCACATAAATATAATCCTCAAGTACAGAGATACTATTTATGTAGTCTGGATATCATTATAATAGACACATTTAGGAAGCAAATTCTATCAAGCATTAACAATTATTATATAAGTTACTCATGATTAAATGGGAGGGCTTGTGCCATGCTAGATTAACGTGGCACTTCAGATAAAAGTGTTTTGAATTAGTTTAGGATTTATGGTAAAATGTCTTGTGGAAAAGAGACGAGTAACCAGTTCGCTCAAAAGAGCAAACAATTGTCCCTACTTTTTCATTTGTAAAAAACAAATAATCTACCTGTCATAAGATACTTCAATCAAAGTGTATTAATTTAAAACTGTGTTTTTTCTGAGTTATTTTTTCACTGTGTTACCAACACATAGAGTAGTTCTCTGAAAGAGGAATGCAAAGTTGAAGGATAAATATTTTCCATCTGGAAAGAGGATTATATTGAAGGATTCCTATAAACAACTCAGTAGAGACACATTTATACTGTCCAAAGATTGGAAAATATCGAAGCAAGACTTGTCAACTGAAAACTATTAAATCCTGGCTTGGATTAAACAAAAATACTGTAATATAAACAAGGGACTAATATTATTCATCCTGTTACGTTAGTAGGTATATTCTCATAAAAAAGATAATAATCTTTATTACAATACTACCAGCATATAATATTTAATTGAAAAAAAATGCTAAGTTGTATGTATTGCAAATGATTTTAGGTCCCTTTTGATTTTGGCAGCCTTACAACTGCTATTATTTATATTGGAGTGGCTTCCACAGTGAAGCAATAAACACAAAACCAGAAAAACAAAGCTGCTGCCATCCAGACACACAAAACAAAATTGCTGTCTTTAAGAATAATATTTTGTGAGATTTAAGACCAAACAAACATAATCGCCGGAAGCACTGGACATGATCAGATAGACTGAGGACTGGAGATTTTCTATACATCCCACCTCATTTGACTCTCATGGGAAAAATAATGGATGGAAATTATAGAAGTGTGGCTTCAGTAGGGATTTGAACACAGGAATGGATAACAGCCTTGTGAATTAACTTATCTTTGGTGTTAGGGTATTTGAGAGAGAAAATGGAGATACAAACACCATTTTATAATCACATTTGCTTAGTTATTAAAAATACGCCATCTTCTCTCCTTATTGTGTCAGAAGTCTTCATTAGCAGAAGCAACAAATGAAAGGTCTGCCGATCTAAGAAGAGGACTTTAAGCCCTCATCTCCAAAGGAATTCAGATATCTAATTCAAACCCAACTCCTGGAAAGATGCACTAGAACACAGGTATGGCACTGAGGACTGCACATGGGTACTAGCAAGTTCTGGGTCACCTGCCCCCCAAGCCCATACATAACCTAACGTTGTTCTGAGGAGCAAGCCTTTCATTAATTTCTGTTATGTCAATATTTCTAAGGCTGCTAATTCTAAAGAAAATGGGGTTCTAAAAAAACAGAGTGCATATTTGAATGCAACTATGTCTTGCCATTTTTATTACAGTAAGGAGAGGTGCTTATTTTAGAACAAATAGAAAACATACACTTAAAGACACCACTGAATTTCCATCTGCAACATTAGCTACTTGGCATAATTGCCTTACTTACCTTGAACAGCTAAACCAGCCAGATGTATTGCTTGCTCCAGTGTGCAAGGAATGTTGCCCTCCAAGATATCTTTCTTTAATTGCAAATAATACTGATACCTACACGGAAAAAAAGAAGAAGCTAATGCTGGCATCTTAATTTCAAGACAGGCCATGCAACCACATTTGTCTGGTCTATTCCTCTCAACTTTCCCCACTCTGGGTGGAAGGCGGTGTTCCCCATTCTTCAGGCCCTGATTTTACAATTGTGCTTAACTCTTCCCTTACCTTACGCATAACTATGTCAGAATCAAGTCCTACTACTTCTTCAAACAAAGAATCTCCACAATTTCTATTCACCTAATATACTATAAATATAATCTATCTTCAATTCTTTATTTTTCTCTCCTCTCTCCTTAATAACCTAACTGTCTCTTCATTGCAAAATTCAGTTTAGTGCTGCTGTATTACTACATTACTTCCGATAACCTTAATCTAACCTTGCACACTCCTACAAGCACACTAAAGACTTTCATTTCTGTATTGCAACTTTTGAGTATTCTGTTCTCACTTACAGGGCATCATATTTCTTTTCTTCTTTTATCTGACGTTATCCTAAGTCATCTCTTGTATGTGGCTAAAAGTAGCAGGTCCATTTGTCTAAAATTTCAACCACTATTTTCATGAATTCTACACCATGGCGCTACCTCATGATAATGTAAAGATCATCTCTTTTGCCTATAACTCTTACATTTCCTGATTTACTTAAGTATGTTTAAGACTTACTCATTTACACTGAAAACGGTTAAAAAAAAAAAAAAAAACACCCACAGATTTACCTGAAACTAATCCAAACTTTACAAAATCAAAGCAGGTCCTTTAGGACCTGAATGCAAGGTTGGCACATAAATTCCTGTCTTCTACATGGAAATATACTGCAATATTGCCGTACTCAATAGAACATGCTATTTATCTTACTCTAATGCTTCCTAGTACACCAACTAGCACAGAATATCAACCAAAGTTTTATTAAAATGTCACAAGACACACCTTTTGAGCCAGTAAAATTCCCAGGAGTAAAGCCCAACACTTTGGATTTTTCACAGAGAAAACGATCCTACAAATTACATGCAAATCAAAAACTAGAGGCACCACGCATTGAGCAATGCATTACAGCACCAGCATCTACAATAGCCGTATCTCCGCCAAAACCTTTCACACCAGAGTAAACAGGAATGGTATTTCTTAAGGTATTTTAGCTCTGGAATCTATAAAGACAATGACACATAATCATGGAATAATTTAGGAAGGGAAAGAGCTTGGGACGGTAGGGTGTCACAGTCCAGCTCCCCTCTTGGAGCAGGGCCAATCTGAAGTTACCATCTTAAATGCGCTAATTGGCATAAGAAGATATTTCTGAACTAGCAAACATTCATAATCTAATTACGTTTTCTGTCCTTTCTTAGTAATAAAATCATAATTGCACAATAATGAAATGTACAACTATAAAAGTTAAGACATTAGAAGAAGTCAATGGGTTCTTAAGGGTTATATAAGAATAACTGGCTGGTGTGCATGCTCAGTTTAGCTTTTTTTTCCGCTAGTTACCACTACCAGATTCCCAAAGCAACAGTCCAAGTGAATGAATGATATCAAAGCTAACATCCTTCTTCAATATCCAGTGAAATTTAAAAAATCACAATGTGGCGGTTAGCCAGTAGTCTGCCTAAGTGCTCAATAACAATCAGGAAGTACTGAAAACAAAATAAATAAAAGTTTATTTCAATAAAATCCACAAGTGATCTGTGCTAGATGGATAAATCAGTAATTTGCAGAAAGATATGAATCTTCTCCCCCCCTCCAAAATGACACAAAAGGGCTAAAATAATAATTACAAGTCTGATCATACAAATGTATCTAAAACGTTACTGAGAACAGGTTTGAATAGATTCCTAAGAAAAGAAAATCAACTCCTTGCTTAGTTTATTGTGTATTCTAAATAGTCAAAAGGAAAACAAACACACGGTTTAAACATAACTTCTGCCTAAAGGAGTAATTTCCATTTCTATACAGCTAGGGCAGGAAAAGCAGACAGTTTTGAAGTAAACTATACATCTTAGAATTGCAAAACCAAAATTATATACAAGCGTGTATAGCTT